GCATTCTAGATCATTTAGCAGTCAGGGTGCAATCTCCTTTGTGTCAGTGATGGAGTTATCTGATTACATATTGTACGGAATGGAAAGTGTATCCATTATCATGCAAGACACTTGGTACAGAACCTGGTGTCACGGAAGCGTGCATTTATAGGAATTCGCATAGGTGCATATCAGTGTGGAAAAGCTCACAGGGTTGAGATTTTCCCTCAGCAGTAGGGTACATATGTAAGTAAGAATGGAGGAAATAAGTGCATGAAGTTTGCCTTCTCTAAAATTCCTGTGATGATGATCTAATCAAGAGCAGTGGCACAATATTTGGTATTGGTCCCAGGTCCAAATTTGGTATTGGTCCAATATTTGCCAACACCAAAGCTGGTTCTGTTGGTCAGTATATCGAAACCTTTTCTCTTTGAAAAAGAAACCAGATGGAGGAGGAAGCACCTCTTCCTTTGGAAAGTTCTAAGCTCGAAGGACTTAAACTCCTGACAGTGTTCTCTTCAGCCCTGCCAAAGAAAGAATCAGAGCCCCTTCGTAATTCGTCTTTCAACTCCACCCAAATACTCTGTCCTCCTGCAGCATCTGAGTCTCACTCAATAGACTAGATGATCACAATGGTCCCTCTGGCCTTGGAATCTATGAATACTTTTCATTATTTCTTTTTGTCTTATGGAATATTCCTATCGTGAAATTTCTCTCCTCTTGTTGCTCTAGAACGACTGGTGAGGACAATGGGGCAGCATACCCATCAGTGGAAGACTCCCAGGAAGTGTGCACTACCTCTTTCTCCACCTCCCCTCCATCCCAGGTAGGAGAAAATGAGCTCCTTCAGTCCCAAAGGCAAGTTGAACAATTAATTCCCTTTAATGCAGCTCAGCATATGTCCTCTGAAGTAGCAGGTTTACAATCTAACAGCAGTATGCTGTGTGTTCAGTTTCTGTAATTAAAATTTGTTTACTTATACATATGTATTGCCCAGACTTTGCTCCCCTCTTTGTAAAACCCAGGTGGATGCTAATTCCAGCAAGACTCCAGGGGACAGAAGGGACTGATTTATGAGGAAGGATTCAAAAACTAAATCATGTAGCTGGGCTAAGCAATCTTTGAAGAGGGAAACAGCAGTCTACAGATATGTCTAGGGGATAAACACTATAAAGAAACGAATGAATTCAGATAAGGCCAAGCAGTATAACTAGGTGTAATAGCCTTGAATTGAGAGGAGGAGTATCAGGAGAACACTTACCTTACTTTGCAGTCTCCTAGCCCATGGAACTAGTCTAGGAAAGGGGTGGAAGCCCTATCACTTGGAGCATCTAAAACTAGACTGGACAAACACTAACAAGTACCTGATGGGGAACAGTTCTGCATTGATCCTTGGGGTGAATTATATGGGACCTAGTAGGTCTTTTCTAGAGCTGGTTGAAATTTTCCACTCATTTCATCATTTTTAAACTGTTCATGGAAAAAATGTCTATTAAACATTTTTTTGCAAAATTTTCTGAGACCCTTTTAAAAATTGATCCATTTTTGTTTATTTAAATCTGCATTTTCTTACTGCAAATGCAGTTTTCAATAAATGGAAGCATTTGCATAATTGTTTCCATTTAAAATATCTCTGGAAACAATGCAAAAAACAGAAAATGGGTCCATTTCGAACCCCACAAAATGGAAACAACTTCAAAATTTCTAGCAGTCTTCTTCCCCCTTTTCAACCAGTTTCACTCCCCCCACCCCCGCTTTTCCTGTTTGTAATTTCTATAGCTCTCTAACTAAAGCTTGGTCAGATTATCTGTTCTCCTGTAGCTTTAGAAGATCAAGAACATTCAGTCTAATTGTCTGCAAAATTAAGTGGCTCTGGTGAACTTTAAGATCTCTAGTTCATTTTTTATGTGTCTGTGTTACTATGGACCAAAGTGAAATGCAGTTTGAGAATGTTTTTCTCATTTGAATGAGTTTGCTTTGGGTCACTTATTGCCTCAAGGTGATCAATCTGATAAACTATTACTAAATGGATTTATTACTAGATTTATCAAATTAAATACATCTCAGCAGGCCTCTCTTGTCCCTCACTGATATTTTGATGACCGGTTCACCCAACAATGTTGAATCAGCCAGGGAGTGCTCATGGTAAGTCTGAGAGAGTAAAGCTGTTGGTTGCTAGACGACCAGCACAAGAGACTTGTTTGAGGCTCAGCCCCATGCTCTCTGCTTTTCAATAAATGGTGTTAATACCTATTAATGTTCATGACAAAATTTTTACTGGTCCCTGTCTCAATCGCTCATAGCCAGAGTTAGTTACATAATAGTAACAATGATGTGAAATAAATTGCCATTGGGTGTCTTTTCGGAGGGCATGAATCTTTCTAATCTTGGAAGAAAAGCTCTATGAAACCATCAGTGCTTTGAGGATTGGTGACTAACAGCAGCCTCTGGTACCACTGCTGCATGGTTTATAATTTACATACGTAGTATGATCAGATGTAAAGCAATTGTCAACCTTTCTGGCCAAAGGCAGCGTTTAAAAAGGCACTATAAGGGGACAACATACACTGAAAAAAGACAAACCATCTTTATATATTTATAAACACCTAAAAGTCCAGGTCCTGTACTGAGACCTGTCTGTGCACTGGACCCTGTACATACAGACTGTGTCCCCCCCCAAAGCTGCATCCCACATTCCTACTGAGTGGAAGGGAGGCTCAGCCACTCTCTTTGCTGCTGAACCTCAAATAGGCCTATCCAGGGATCCATATATTGGGAGGGGGTAAACACAAGATTGGCGGAACACATCCTCCTCCTTTTAGCCTTGCAGAGCTTACCAGAAAAGATGCAGACTACCCTGCATTGTATTTTCCGTGGAGAACACCAAAGTGTTCAAGGATTGTACCTGCTAATGTGATTCCAATGGAACTGTGCTGCCAGGAAGCTGGGAGACAGACCTGGTGCGGTGGGAGGGACCAGGATTTCCCATGGATGGTCCACCCCTCTCACATCAGGCACCCTCTGCTAGACAATTTTTAATGCCACAAATTGCCAATTTCCACTTATGGCCCTGCTCCAATTGCTGTGTTCTGGTATAAAAATGATTTGGATCGTGGTAGTGCCCAGAGGCCTCAGCCTGGATCATGGCCCCATTGGGCTGAGTGTTGCACAGGCACACACAAAGACATGTTCCCTGCCCATCAGAATTTACAGTTTTGGAACACTAGCTACATCTGAAGGGGAGACCATCAAAATATAGACAACTTGTATGTGTTCAAATCAAAATCAGTCTCAGCTGTTCCCAAGAGCCCCTCAGCATAGCCTTCATGAAGTGACTAGCGGTCTTAGTAAGCTGTGCAATGGAGATTTTGCCAATTGCTTTATGTCTAATTCTCTCTGGAGTTGTGATGGGGAGCGGTTCACTGCAAGACTGACGCCTTTACAAATTAAATTAATTTCTGGCCGTACTGAGAATTTTACCATGCATAAAGCTGTCTGACTGCTCTAGCCATAGAAGCTCCTCACTAGTGTTCAGTTCATCCAACTCTTTTCAGTTCTTCTCTCAAGTCCTTTTCTCTTTCTTCCTTCCTTGTTTTCCTCTGTGTGTCTGTGTATTGCACAGTGTGTTTTTACTGTCACTAAGGCACATTTTCAGACCCCTCCTCCTGTGGTGATGGACACCTTGAAGGTCCCTATGATGGGACTGGCCTTTTCACATCAAGTGAGTTCACAATAGAATACAGTATCTATGGCCTGATAGTACTTTAAAAATGGAGGAAGGTACAAGTTTGACTATCCAGAGTGTACATTGGGAAATAAATCTGTTTGATGCTTCCTTATGCTGAAGAAGCTGCTCAGCCCAAAATGGGATGGGCTTTTTATTCTGGTTAGAGCTGTTCGCAATGTCTGTGATTCTTTCTATAGCAGGTTTTTTTGTTTGTTTGCTCCAGTGCTCTTTAAACTAAAAACTACTTGCTGCGTAGCACTGAGCAGCAGCCCTATAGGAAGCAACCAATGCATGCAATTTGAGAGGTCAAGGGGGGAGGGTGTCTTGTCAAAGTTTCAAGGGATCTTGACTGCAGTGGGTAGAAGAAATTTAATTTCTCAAAGTGCACAGTGCTTTGTTGGCTGGCAGGGGCTTGGGAAAGAAGCAGCATTCTTCACCTCTGCAGGGAGGGAGGCCCAGCATACCTCCTGTGATACCAGCGACCACCTCACAGACACAAGGCTTCTTATTGACAAGCGATAGAGGAGCTTTAGGCAGCTCTTCTTGAGAAGTAGGCAGGGAGTAAAGAAAAGGGGAGGGGTGGCAAAGGTCTTAGACTTAGAGGGTCTTGGAAGGCAAAAATGAATTGAATGCCCCATCTTGACAGTGTGCTTTGAAGCATTTCAATGTAAACATCTGGGGTAAAATCCTGACCCCTCTCAAGTCAATGGGAGATTGGCCACTAGCTTCAATGGAGACAGGATTTCATCTGTGGTTGTCGAGGGCTCAGATCCTAAAAGGTATTTAGGTCCTAACTCCCACTGAAATCAATCAGAGTTAAGTACCTAAATATCTTTGAGGATCTTGACCTCATTCTCTTCCCCAGTCAGGATGTTTGCTTGTTACTCACGTGTTCTGATTGCAGGAACTTAGAGACCATCATCTGTTACCCATATGACACAACAGGCATCAGTGGATAGTGCTTGACGTGTTCTCTCAGGAGTAGCCTCTGGCTCTGGAACCTGTCCCTCCTGTAACGTGGCACTTGTTCCAAGAGTGTTAAAGTTGAGACACTGTTAACTTGAAAAAAATCCCACCACTCTGTCTGAAAATGTTTGATCTCTGGTTATTACAAGCAACACCTAAGAGGACTAGAAAAATGTCTATTCTCTACTCTTGTTTGTTTATTTTGTGCTTCTCACAGCACTTTGTGTAGTCAGTTTCTATATCTCCCCTGACTAGTCAGGTAGGTTTCTCCTGTAAGTCTGGATCTTTCACATAGCAACAGGGGAGAGAATCATTTTTATAGAACAGAAACATTTTTATTATAAAATCACACACATTGCTGGGGATCTGAGTGGCAGGTGCAGGGCTGAGGTTACTTTTAACTCCACTTTTAAAAATTAATTGAATTTCAAGTTGACAGTGTCTGGTGAAGAGAGACTGGCTGTCTTAATTCATAGTAAATCACAGGGTAGTGATGGGAAGGGATGTCTGCATGAGTTGGGGGACTTTATTTAAAAAGAGAAAGACTGGCCCCTAGAGTTCCCTGAGGGACTGGGGACTCTCTGGGGAGCAGAAAGCCCTATGAAAGTCAGAGTACCATCAGATGATGCTCCTAGCAAAATAAGAGTTCTTGAGACTGGGCCAGCCTGGTTTGTGAGAAGAGACCACTCCATCCAGCTTAACCCAGACTCTAGAAGGAGCCCAGCCTGATATCTGTGGGCAGCCTTAAATTGTCAGGCCCCGCCTCAAAAATGTCAGCACTCGGAGTACTGATTTACTTGGGGATTCAGTGTTGTAGCCATGTCAGTCCCTGGGTGGGTGAGGTAATATCTTTTATTGAACCAACTTCTGTAGGTGAGAGAGACAAGCTTTCAAGCTACCTCTTGCGGCTCCTCTTCAGCTCTGGGAAAGGTACTGAGGGCTGGTCTACACTGGGAACTTATATCGGCATTAGCTACATCTCATGTGGTGTGAAAAATCCACATCCCTGAGTGATGTAATTAAGCTGAGTTACCTCCAGTGTAGACAGTTCTAGGTTGATGGAGGTGGAGCACCTACACCAGTGGAAGAACCCTTCATGTCCTGGGGGTCGGGTCTTGTGACCGTTTTGTGAAAAGTGTTCATCCGTGAGTGATATGGTGTTTTTTGTCTTTTATCATTTTTCTGTGTGAATTCAGTTAAGAGTGTAGTGAGTGTCTGATTTCCCCCCCACAGTTGTTGTTAGAGCATTTAGTGCACCAGATGTGATAGGCATGTGTCAGACCCACCCATCATAGATTTCCACCACAATTTCTACAACCACTACCCATCTATCAAACTCTCTCTAGAACACTACCGCACCGGCATCAACTTTCTGGACACCACAATTAGCTTCAGTAATGGCATTCAACAGATAACTATATACAAGAAACTCCTGGATCACCCTACTTACCTTCACAGATCCAGTAACCACCCCAAACACACCAAGAAATCTGTTATCTACAGCCAGGCCCTCAGATACCACAGAATATGCTCTGAGAAGAAAGTCCAGGATACACACCTTCACCAAATAAGGACACTCCACCAGAAAAATAGATCACATCATGGAATGGGCCACCCAAATACCCTAAGAGAACCTGCTTCAATATGGGGGGGGGAACCCTCCGACCACACACCTCTAGTTGTCACCTACCACCTCACACTGGAACAAATATGGGGTATCATTAAACAATTACAACCCGTACTTCATGGGGACCACCTCCTGAAAGAAATCTTTCTCCAGCCCCCTCTTCTGGCCTTCAAACAACCTCACTATCCAAAGCAAGCTTCCCAGAGACTAGGATCCACCAACTCAAAGCAGCACCAGACCCTGCCATAACAGATGCAAAACTGGCAGACCTATCTCCACACCTTTCAAAATCCATGGGTCCTGCACATGCCTATCACATCTGGTGCACTAAATGCTCTAACAACAACTGTGGGGGGGAAATCAGACACTCACTACACTC